ATAATAGAGAAACGAGTTCTTATTTTATGGAAAGTCAGATAATCTAATAGGTTGAAGGTACAATCTTTTTATACATCAAGTTATAATTGAAATGCATTTTTATTGACTGACAGTAATTCAATTTGATTTTGCAAAATTCATTTTATTAACGCAACCATTGCGTTATTTAATATTATATTACTATTTAGCAAACGTAAACGCAAAGATTGCAAAACTATTTCGATAAGAAAAAAATATATTTTCCAAACGTGTTAATGGAGTAAACTTTACATGTGTTATGTGCATAATATAATAATGACTTTCTCGAAAAATAAGCAAAACGTCATTAGACGAAACAGCACGAAAATAATTGAGGAAAATGTATTTCAATTATGCCTTAATTTGTAAAAAGACATTGAACTCTTTTAAAAACTGATATAATCTCTGTGAGGCATTAACTATATGAAAAACATTGTTATAAATTTTCAGTAACCTTTGAGATATCAAGCACGGTAGATACTGTGGCGTACATAAAGTGCAACGTGAATCAAAGTGGTTTTTACCGCGTAACTTATCCAGATGAGATGTGGACGGCGATTATCGAAACGTTACTAAAAGATCACACCAAGTTCAGTCCAGCGGATCGTGCTAATCTGATCGACGATGCGTTCACGCTTTGCGAGGCAGGCGAACTGAACGCTACCGTGCCTCTCGACCTGTCTCTTTATCTTTTGAAGGAGGAAGACTACGTTCCGTGGGCTACGGCTCTCAGATATTTGCATTCTTGGAAGGAGAGACTAAGCGAGAGTCCCGCTTATAAAAATTACACAGCCTTTTTGAAGAAGCTGATAACACCGGTGACGAGATACGTCGGATGGGCGGACAGTGGATCACATTTAAAAAAGTAATTCTGTTAGTTTCTATAACTTTATTTACCCAGTTAACTGAAATCTAACTAATTAATCTATTCTTACACAGAGATATCTAAAATGTATCTATTATCTTTTGCATATATGAAATACTGTATTACGTTATGTTACGTCATGTCTCAGATAATTAACAGACACCTGTAGATACCTCTGGTTAACTGGATATTTTCAAATGAATATACATATTGTTTAATTGAATTCGTTGTATTTATTTTTCGTAGATTACTAAGAATTGCCGTCCTTCAATCAGCTGTGTCTGTGAAACTGGAGGATGTTGTGAAACCGGCGAAGACTTTATTCGACAATTGGATGTTGCGAAATGAATCAATCGCTCCAAACATACGAGACGTTGTATACGTAGCAGGTAATTCGATTTTTCTTTTTAATTAGTAAATTATTTCATTACCAAAGACGCGGTATTAGGAAATGTAGTATATTTTATACTATAGACTTCATGTGAGAGTTTTAAATATAAAATCCATGTTTAAGATACTTTATTATTAATGAAAAGTAATCGATGATTATATGCTATATTTTTACGTTCATTTGATATAAAATACTTCAAAAGACAATATGACACATAATGCAAGATTACAAGAATTCATGCGAATTATGTTAGTTTATAACGTGAGAATTGAGAAAGTATGGAATTGTGAAATTGTTGACTAGTGTAATTGAAAGATTGTTCATGTGTGCAGGAATCAAATTTGGCGGGGAGAGAGAATGGAACTATTGCTGGCAGAACTATCAGAAAACTCAGGTGCCCAGCGAGAAGAGAATAATGTTACAGGCGCTAGGAGCGACGACGGACACTTGGCTGTTACAGCGCTATCTCTTACGATCGTTGAATCGAGAGATGGTGCGATCGCAAGATGTCGAGACTGTTATAGCGTCTGTCGCGACCAATTCCGAAGGTCAATTCCTTGCGTGGCGTCACCTCAAGGCGTATTGGCCTCAGATACACGCCTTATTCGGGAATGGATCACTCACGATGGGAGGACTCATATCTGTCGTGATCTCCGACTTTTTCACGGAGTACGATTACCATGAGGTAAGTTCGAACACTGTTTTATCCTGTTTAAAACTATTAATGCATAATGCGGTAATGAACACATTCAATGCATAATTTTATAACACTCAATGAATGAATAAACATAATTAAATTCTTCTAACATTGATTTCGATATTTTCATTTGAAACATGAAGACACGTTGTAATAAAAATAATTTTGTCAATTTTCAATAAAAATGAATCTAACGTTACACCAGGTTTCGGAATTCTTTAAAAACGTGGACGTTGGGAGCGGTCGACGGGCGTTAGAACAAAGCCTAGAAACAATCAAGTTCAATATACACTGGGTGAAAGAGAATGCGGACACCGTCGATCGATGGCTTATAAACTATTTGAACGTTCACACGAGTTAACCCCTCATTTATCGGGAATGGGACAAGAATGACGCGAAATTATCATGCAGTCATTCCATAACGGCTCTTACTTTTCTCATGCTGCTCGTCGATACATGATAATACATTCGAAATACGAATTGTATGTACTTTCATATAACGACGACTCGCTGTAGGAAAACGTAAGACATTTGTTACTGTCTCTCTGAATCGTTCATTTACCATTTAGATATACATATATGTATACATGTATGTATGTGCATGTAGAGGGTGTCTGATTTTCAGTTACTTTACATCATTATTATGACATGTAACAAAAATATGTAGAAGTATGATATTAATTTTTTTTTAAATCAACCTTGTCTTTTATAAATGTAGTCATCAACTATTTTTACTACATATAATAATAACGTAAATAAAAAGTGAAAATCAGATACCCTGCATAATTCACAGACCGATTCCATTTCCGTCATATACGCGGCAGAAGATTATTTCCACCGGCTGGAAGTCTTTCGATGAATCAAGGGTGTGTCCAATCCCTTTTAGCGATAGCAAAAATATTTAATCTCCGAAATTTTTGGCCGCGGGGAAAGATCTTTTGATTAATCCAAACAGAGCCGAATTGTTTATACGTAACGCATTATACACCGATTTCTACGCACTTTCGAAAGTATTTGTTTACTATACACGCGGTGCGTACAGATTGGATTTATTACTATTAGACTGCGGACTTTTATGGCAAAATAAAATATTTATAGTATCAACTGAAAAAAATCGATTTTAGTTAGAAATTTCTTTGATTATTTAAACACTGCAATATTACACTTCTATATATACATATATGTATAGAAGGCACTCTATCCCATTGAAAGCAATGAAATTCGAATGCCTTCTTTATAGAAATCAACGATACTACGTAATTTTAATAGTTTGTATATTTTTCTACATACAGCATGTTTATATCTTCTGCAGATACAATTTTTCTAGAAATGCGTCAAATCCGCAGTCTAATCATTATGTATAAAGAGAGGAGTTATTGCCAGAGAGGAAGATGCAACGTTGTTCCTAGGGTAGTCGGTAACCCAATTGAAGTTTTCAGGGAAAAAAGGGGCTAACGACGTACACCTATTAACGTTGATAATTTTAGTCTCCCAAGTACAGGTTGTTCCATAAAAAATTGCTGAAACTATACGATTACTATTTTCGTATTTTCTTTGAAATTATGATTATTTTATTATTTAAAAATAGATACATTTTTTATGTACATATGTGCGCGTGAGGAGGCAAATGGTATAAGTGACATTTTGAAGACGATTATAATAATGATATTTTCGGGTTTGCCATACGATGGGTTATTAACAATTATAACATACCTAGAATTGATTCAATATCTTTTATGTCTTCGATAATGGAGCATTAGATAAACGGTAAATATCTGGTAGACGTCATGTGCAGTCAAAGAGAAGAGGAGACATTCGTTTACTTTGAGCAACTTCCAATGGAACACCCTTACGTACGTGTACCAAACTTTATTCCAAGGAGTGACGGTAGTCACTTCCACGTGATACCCAAGCCCCGTTCCTGATCCATCCAGTATAGTAATTCGAATGACATTATTGAAGAAAAAATGCTACTTATACGTTTCGTGCTTTATGCAGAAAGGGAGTAGCCATATGACAGAATAATATTTTGGCCTGTGCTAATCTGAAGTGCGATAAAAATACAAGTATAGACGATGGCAATTTAATCTTTTTTCAACTGTAGAATTTCTAGAAAGTCCAGAAATATATTTTAAGTGCAACAATATTGCAATACTTATTTATTTATTAATATTACACTATAATTATATATTATGAATGCAACAGTGCTGTTAGAAAGTTAAGCAAATACAAATGGTATATTAAAATTTTTATACATTGAACGATAAGAAAAAATATAAGTTCTTCAGAAAAGTAGGTACCTACCAATTTCATCATATTTTTATCGCACTTAAGCAGTTTCTCTGAGTTCATATTCATTGTACATATAAAATGACAAGATATATTCACACGATTATTTTAGTAACGAGAATATTTTTAGTAGCAAAACGTCAATTGTACAATTATTAAGAGTTAACACAACTTGTATTATATCGATAAAAATTTCATGTTTGAAGAGAAAAACTTTGGCTGCTCCTCTATGGAAGATTGCGCGTAGCATGCAAATTAAACCAAGGAACAGCGTTCCAAAATTCGTACTAACCGAGTGATCGCCAGACTGCGGATTCGATGCATTCAGAAGGGAAATCAATCTGTGCAGAAAAATCCGCAGCCTAGCAAATTGGAGAAAATGTCCAAAACGATTACGTGCATTCTGTTAATATTAAGTAGCATATCAACGTTGGGGGAAGTTTGTGACGTTTATTGAATCGTGGAAATGAAAAGTGATCCGTAGACTGCGGATTTGATGCATACATGCATATATGTATAAAAGATATGCAGACAATATAATGCATACATTCGTACAATATGCAAAAACATGTATTACACGTGTGCATATAATAAAAAAGTATATGGATTACATGTGTGCATATCATATGCAAGAATATGCATAAATACAAATCTTTACTTTGCATCACAATCCGCAGCCGAGTAATCCGACAAAAAGGTCTCGAGCGTGGAGCAAAACAAGATGTTGCGAGAAATGTTGTATGTCCCTCGAAGTAATCGCGAAAAAATTGATGTACCGTGTGTGTTGCGTATTTATATTTACCGCAGGTCGCTGGGTGCGTGGGGCATCACGGCCCGCTGATTATTCTTCGTGTGAGGTAGCATAATAGAGAATCGGATATTTTATTATGAAGGGAAAAAGCGTGTATAAATTAATGTATGTAACCATGTGATGCTTTGTATGGTGTGTACATACTAGCGTAAGGGAATCGTGTGTCCTGTGCGTGATCGAATATATTTAAATCACAAAAGGTATCTAGATGCATACGAAATACGTTCATGCCAAATTTGTGCTAATCTTTCTGAACGAGAGAGGAAGGGAAATATTCGTGTGATTTTGGCACGATTCGAGCAACCTTGAAATGCTAATGAAATTACGTCTATACTTTTTGCGTCGAACTATCGTTAAATGTTAGGAATACTGTATATGGTTTATCGTACATCCGCAATGCAATTACTCCCTGCGTTCTTCTAATTATCCATCGACAATAAACGTTTAAAATATGAAACGATATAGCAAAGAAGTGTTCAAAAATGAAACAGAGGATACGTTTGTTACTAGATACTTCCAGTAAGTGAAACAGCTAATTTAGCATTTGAAGGTTAAAACGTAGACTGCGGATTTGATGCGATTATAAAATAAAAATGAATGTGTATTACAAAATATGCATTATATGTATGCATAACAACTTATTTTTTAAAGAGATCTCAATCTTCATTCCATTATTTACATTGACATCACGGAAATTTTAAAGTATTATTATTATTGTTATTACTTACCATCAAAATCCGCAATCTGAAAACTTTACAGAACCGATCCTATAGAATAAAAAGAAACAAAACGAGAAAGTACCATGGATATTTCGTTACGGTGGTGTTCTATGTATAATATGTACAGAGAAGAATTACACTACAAAATACTTTGTAGCTCGATCAGAAAATTTCGAGACACCCTGTATACGTTCAGATTTTACTCCAACGATTAAAAAAAGCGGTAAATATACAGATAGACGTAAACGTCTTTCAATGATCGTTTAATAAATTATTAAGGACGTAATTCTAAACAACTTCTTCCTCTACGAAAATTGGCGGTTTACAGATAGCCGGTGTATAGATTACTGTTTCTGAGATATTTATAAAATACTGTTGCTACTATACTGATTAATGATATATTTACGTTTCATGGAGAACTTAGGGATACGATGATAGCAATCTTAGCTTTACAGCATCCATTGTACTAATATCTGTGGCATTGTACAAAGTAGAGTAACATTTTTAGGTATGTCATAACAACCCTACAACGTCTGATATTGGAGTGATAAAAGTTGCAATGATAAATTTTATTTACGAGTTGCAACACAGGAAAGTACCTGGAGAATGTACTCTATTTCTTCTCATTCATATTATTATAAAGCCAACTGTTACAAGATTGAATTTAACTTTTTATGAATATTTCGGACAGCAGAGTTAACTGACAATTTTTATAAAGGAAAAAGTTGTTAGATATCGTGAGGTGAAGAATACATTTAAAAGATCGTTAAAGTCTATCTGTAGCGAAAAAGCGTTGGTAAAAATAAACTATTTTCTATGTACTTACCACTGCCGGTGTCCAGTGGTCGACCGAATCTCACGAATATTGGATTGTACGCGTTCTCGTCACTGTTGTTAAAGAATCAAGCACTGGTTATTAACCGAGAGAGAAACGTCCTAATTAGTTAACTCACGCTGGAGCACATACATACATACGTATAAATACATACTACATAGAACACGATTGATCTCTATCTTCGATTTACCAAACGACAAACTGCCGACGATGCTTGCAATTCGAATCATCACCGCGAACCGAGATGCATAACATTCTTTTCGAGGTTTACGCCACTTTTTTACAGAGACATTTTCAATCAAAAGGTATGTACAGTTAAAGAGTCGAACCCCGGCGAAGATATCGTCGAATTTTATCGAATTAGGATTCTCCAGCCGAGAATTAAATATACAAAGCATGTTTACAATTTAGGGAGGGAAATAACATTGTATAATTACGGAAACAAACAGCTGCACGAACTTGTTCATTCCTTTAAGTAGATTTTTATACACTCCAACGGCGAATTAATGAATCGACGCACAACTAGATACCTTACATGTAAATAGCATATTTTTTCACTAACGGATATTCTCTCTTGTTAAAGATTTAAATAATGAACGAAACTCGCTCCACGGTATTCATAAAAGGGAACCGGACCCAATTATATTATCCTTTCAAATACAGAATGATGAATTACAAAACGATACAGATGAAAACGAGATGAATAGGAAACTGCCGATGAACTTGGTTGAACCCGAACCAGGTTTTGATGATTTGACAGAAAGCGCCCCTAACGATCAGGTCTAGTGATGGGGCACGAAATCCCTCACGAAACGAGCGATTTCCCCTCTTTTCTGGCTCCCCACTACTATTCCCCTCTTGCGCCTTCGCTCTCTCTCTCTCTCTCTCTCTCTCACTCCAACCATATGGTAGGTTTTCCCCACTACCATCGTGAAGGATTTCATGCCCCATCCAGGGATCGTACAATTTATCCCGCACGACTCGCTTCCCCTCTTTTTCACCCGTATTTCGATCCCCACTACTATTCTCCTCATGCGCCTTCGCTGACCATGCCTAGCATACCCCCATAAAGTACCAGTCGCCACCATGATCGCGTTGTCCCTACTTTCCGGCCGAGGGACAAATTATACGATCCTGGCCCCATCATTGGTCAGGTCACACGTCAAAAGCGTACATTCTGATGTTCATGTCACGTTCTGCCGAAAGTCTCAAACATAAAAAGAGATAGCGCGTGAAGGAGAGAGCGTTCGTGCGTTAAAGACCACGTAATAAATCTACGTAAGCTTACAGTAATAATAAATAACTACAAAACTTACTTTACAAATTATTGCATCAATTATTAAACGAAGCATTATATCAATCGGGAGATGAAACATTGATTCAATTATTGCATCAATGATTACATGAATAATCATTGTATTAAGTACTTATAAACATGTGCATTTATTAACAATAACATAATGTTATTCCGTGTCTGAAAGGATAATATAAGGGGACGTATAATGGTTTCGCAATTAAAGTACGAAGGGAGCACGAATCGATTGGCCTATTTTACAAACATTCGTATCGTATCCGAAAGTACTTGTTTAAGAAGTATAAAATGCAATTCTCTTGTCGCTTACGTTCAAGGGCGAAAATCGCACAGATTGTCAGGTTCCTTTAGAAACGGTTTTACGAGAGTTACGCACGGTTATTGTGTTTTCTCATGATCGATCGATCAAGTATTTAAACTTCTTTTCACTGATTACTAGACTGCGGATTTGACGCATTTATAATAATAATTAATAAAATAATTGAATGTATATACAACTTATAAAAAATTAAATATGCAGTATATATCAAAAGTGAATAACATGAAACAAACGTTTACCTGAATTTTTTTAATCAACTACTGTAAACGTTTCATTCCGCATAAAAATCCGCAGTCTATTGATTATTACAAAGGTCTAACAGTATTAGAAAGGAAACCATTCTTTACCAAGGTATTAAAAATTATAATAGAATAATGAGCAGCGTACGTGTACTTATATTTGTTTGTTTTATTTGAAACGATGATAAAATTATAAATCGAATATATTGGACGCGGAGTTTAACCGATGCAAAAAGTTCTACCGTAAGACTGGACATCAGAGTAATCAACA